CTTCTTATGTCCATTTCCAGCATCCAAACCCACTGGCAGTGATTTGGTAGAGATTGCCAGCATCCCCCCTGGATTGGTCTCCCAGCCCCTCAGTCTTGTCCTTCTCCTCTCCATTCTCTGCACAGCAGAGTGATTGTTCCAAAACTCAAAGTATGATTATGTCACTCCCCCTGCTTAATAACCATCAATGGCTCCCCAGTGCTATGAAGATGAAAACTCCTCAGCCCAGCCTCTCAGTCCCTGCAGGATCGACCCCGATTCCCTCTCTAGTCTCTCGTGTCACCATCCCCAGCTCATTTTTTTTCCTGATTCTCTATCTCTCATTCCCTCCCCTCTCACTCCCCACATGTTCCTCCATTGTGGACAATTTGTTTTCTGTTACTCTGGGCTTGTTCACATGTTCCTTCTATCTAGACACCTTGCCCTACCCTCATCTGGCCTACTTATAGTCAACCTCTCACTCAGGCTCAGGAGTCACCTCCTCTGGGAAGCCCTCTCTGATCTCCCAGGCTGAATTTAGTTCCTCTTTTACTCTCACAGTCCTGTGGGACTGCTGTGTTTATCCTCAGCATAGCATTTATCATACTCTGCTAAAATCGACGACCTCCTTGTCAGTCTTCTACTAGATAAGACAGAGGAGTCGTCTTTGGTGGTCTAAAACTATGTCTACAAATTCTTAGATATCCCTTTCTAAAAAAGTAGAGCTTCATTCACCACCTTGTGATTTAGAGGCTTGTTTCTAACACACAGAATGTGGCAGAAACAACGATATGTAATTTCTGAGACCAGCTCATAAAGGCAATACAGCTTGTGAGGTCACTCAAGCAGCCTAAAGAAATGCCCACAGGGCAAGGAACTGAGGCCTCCTGCCAACAGCCATGTGGGTGGGCCACCTTGGAAGTGGATCATCAGCCCATTGAGCCTTCAGATGAGACCACAGCTCTAGCCAACATCTAGACCACAACCTTATGAGAAATTCTGAACCAGCTCAGAACCACTCAACTAAGTCACCCTCAAATTCCTGACCCCAGAAACTTGAGATGATAAATGCTTCTTTAATTCCCTAAGTTTTGAATAATTGTTAACAGTAGGTATTCTGTAGATATTCTGTGGTTATTGCTTCACTGAATGAATGAATGGGTCAAGCAACTTGCCATGGTCACATGGTTAGAAACCAGGCATGAAGGTTTGCTAGGGTCATCCCTCTGCCACACCCCACTTGGACACCCCCAAACTCAGCCAGAAACCTAACCACCTTGGCCCCAGAAGATAAGTAGCCCGTCTCTTCCAAGAGCCATGGAAGAAAGGCTTGGGAAATGTCCCTCTGCCTGGGTGGGCCACCTACCCGAGTGCAAAGACATCTGAGTGCTTGGAGAAGGGGAGCTTGTCCTCCTCTGTGTCGGGGGACAGCTGGCGGATGATCTCTGGTGCCAGGTGGCACAGCCAGCCATTCTGGATGCGGAGTTTATCCTCTCGCCTGGAGAAGCAAAACACAGAGTGAGCCCCGTTTCACAGCCCAGGGAGGACCAGCCCCCCAGCACTGACCCTGGGTCTTTGGACCATCTCTGTCCTGCCCCCCCCCCCCCCCCCCCCCCCCCCCCGCCACTGCCACACACTGCTGGGCACTGTCCGACCTTGTACTTGAGGCTGAGACCCAGTGGAAGGGGCAGGGAAGACTGGTCTGGAGAGAGACACCCAACACCCAAACCATCATTGGGTCCCTCTACTTCTGAGGCACCCCCTTCTACATATTCATTCAACAACGACAGCTGAGTCTTGTTATCCATGGCAGTTATGTTTTATAAAGTCTCTGCAAATAGTGAGTTAGCAAATATGGAATCATTGCTCCTAGAGGAAATATGTCTTCACACGCACAGCTCACACAGATTGTAATCTTTAATCCTAAAAGCAACTCATCCTAGTACGTTCGATTTTTATTATCTTACAGAAAAGGAAAACAAGGCTCAGAAGCGTTGAGTGATGTGTCTGAGGCTGCCCCACAAGGAGATGCCAGAGTTGCAAAGCTCTGTCCAACTGGCCCGGAGGGGGGGGGGCAGGGCTTCCTGCCCTGCGCTGCACAGCCCCCTCCCATCTCTGTCCCCTGGTCATCTCTGAACAAGAGCTGAGGCAAGATCGCAGAGTGTCCCCTTGTTTGACCTCAGCTGGGAACACATGCATCAGGTGACTCAAATTTTCACCACCCTGTGCATGCCCATGAATGACTGCAAATGTGCGGATTGATTTTTGGGGTGCAAACAGATGTGAGTAGGCAGATTCGCAAATCTGGAATGCACAAATGAGGAGGATCGACTGTATTTATGGAGAACCCACTATGCCTAAACTCTGTGTTTGTGGCACCGGGAGCATAGCGGTGAGGGAGTCCAGCAAGGTCCCTGCCCTCCTGGAGCCTCTGCTTTGGTAGGAGAAGGTGATGGCAGATGAATTAAATAAATAGGAAAAACACAGATAGTGATAAGCATTATGCAAAAAAAAAAAAAAAAAAAAAAAAAAAAAAAAAAAAAAAAAAAAAAAAAATTAAACGGGAATGTGTTAAAGATAAGAGGGAACTTACTTTAGGTAAAATGTGAGCTAAGATAGGACATAAAGGATCCAGCCATACGAATAAGGAGAAGAATATTCTAGGCAGAAGGGGAAGTTAGGACAAAGGTGTAAGGCAAGCCCTGTTTGGGATGTTCTAGAAACTTAAAGAAGGTGTGTGTAACTGGCACGTTATCATGCTATCCTATGTGTTTCTTAAAATGTATACAGCCAACCCCAGGTTGATGGGCCTTAGGTAGCTCCTGCCCCTTCCATCATTATGAGCAATGCTGTGAGGAACCTCTTTAGGTAGGTACTGGGAATATATTCCCACTCAGATCTATGATTATTCCTCAAGATAAATTCCTGGAGGAGGAAATATGCTGGCTGCCTTCTTCACATTGTAAGTAGGTACAGACCTTTCCATTTGGGACTGAAATCTGAACAGACCTCCTTCAAGATTTCCACTGATTCAAGACTCCCAGGAAAGGGCCAGTGGGCAGCGAAGGGAGAGGCGCATGGATGTCTCCAACCATCAAGAGTGAGGTTGTGACGGTCCAGAGCCTCCAAATGTGGGGACCTGGGACCGGCTGGATTCTACAGTTCTCCTAGGGTGGCTTCTGACCTATGTCAGACATGATGTACTGTTCCCTGGACTGCACTCATTCATATCCCATGATCATGATTCTTGCCCTACCTGAACACCTTCTATAGCAGCCATACCCAATAGAGCTTTCCATGATGATGGAAATGTTCTCTGTCTGTGCTATCCAATATGGCAGCCACTAGCCATCATGGCTACTGGGCACTTGAAATCCAGCTAGTGACCCTAAATAACTGAACATTTAATTTTATTTAATTTTAATTAAAGTTAAAATTCCATTGCTCTACGTGGCCGGGGGCTATTGGACAGTGCTGCTCTAGACTATTATTTACTACAAATGGGTTTTTTGTTTTCATTTACTTCTTAACATGACCATAAATGGAGACTAGCACTTTTTTTTAGTACGCATGAAAATTAAGATGAAAAAGTCTTATTCACGTCCTCCTTAAAGCTATCTTGTGGACCACACACTGGGGTCCACAAGGACCCCTGACAAGCAAGGCTCCAGGAGTTTGGGGGCTGGATAATTCTTTGTGGTGGAGGCTATCCTGTGCACTGTAGGATCCCTGGCCGCTCCCCAGTACATCTCTTCCCCTGTTGTGATAACTAAAAATGTCTCCAGACATCACAAATATCCCAGGGGGGCGGGAGAGCCCCAGGTTGAGAGTCACCACTCTAATTTATACATAAAATAAGGAGATGGTCCAAATTCCCTTTTGGCATCAGTAACACAGGACTTACTCTGCACAGCAGACCTATTAGAACACATCCTCTGCTGGAAAGCAAGACTGAAACACACTGGCAAGCCCTCGAGTTGGCAGGTCCCAGTGAGTTCTTGCTTCCAGAAATGGGGATGCCTGCGGTAACTGAAGGACCTACCTGCTGCTGACTAGCCATGTGACCCTGAGCAGGCCTGAGTCTCCACTCTCCCATCTGCACAATGGGCACATCATTTCAAAGTAATTAACTTGTCCATCTTGAGGACTCAGAGACGGGGTTGAGACTAGAGCACAAAGAACATCACCCTTGAAGGAAGGGCGGTGGCCCGGGCCAGCCGACACTCTCTAGGTAGGACCAGGCCACTGGGGGTGCGGGGGGGTGGGCTGCTGCTGCCAGAAGGGAGAGCGTCTCCGTTCTGATCTCTTTCCAACAGTCCCTGCTGCCTATTCTAGACTCACTGGCTCAGTGCAGGTTTGGAACTGCGAGCAGGGTCAGGAGGAGGGGTGCTGGCCACTCCCTAACCCTCAGCTTGGGGTGGGCGTGGGCACACACCTGGGAGGGGGCTGGACCCCAGGTCTGGCCCAGCCACTCCAGGCTGTCCTGTTCCCATGGGGATGGGCCCACCGGGTGACAAACTCAAGTCATCTCCATGATGGTTATTACTGATTAATAATTGTCTGCACGTGGCTGGCATGATTGTGGCTGGCACCGAAAATGACACCTTTTCTCAATGATGGCAGAACAGCTGTAAGCACGCAACGCTGGGGACGGGTCTGGGGGAAGCCCTGGGGTCTGGCTGGATGTTCAGGACATGCTCACTTCCCTGGGTGACCCCCATCCCTGCCCAGGCCCGGCAGATCTCCCCCTGCTGGGAAGCCAGCATTGTGATCGACCCAAGCTCTGAAGGGAGGGCGGGACAGCAAGTAACCCCGCTGAGTGCCTACTGTGTGCCAGGCTGTCCATCCCACTTAATCCCCGCAAACCCACGACAGGATGAATAAAATCCCTGCTCTGTGGATGAGAGCACAGAGCTTCCAAGCACTTCAGTGACCTGCCCAAAGCCGTGGACACAGTCACTCCAGAGACTCCCAACCACAATTTTACAGTAATTCCTGGAGAAATAGCACCCTTACGGAGCAAACTGAAGCCCTGCACTAAACTAAGCCCTGCACACAACTGGAACGGGGAGATAAGCACAGGAGAAACCCCGTGGTGACAGGTGGGCAGCTGTGAAATGTGGATTTCCTCTGGGAGAGGTCGCTGGGGGCCCCCTGGCCTCTCCCAACACTACCCAGGTTTGTGTTGACACAATCAGGCCAGCCGCCGCCTTGCCCTTGACTTGAACTTGCCTCCTGGTTGACAGGGGGCCTCTAAGGATGAGGGAAAGGAAAGGAGGCCCACGTCATTCCATTTCCTTTCTTCCTTGTTACCCTGGGGCTTCAGCAGACCAAGAATTAAAAGGAAGAAAATCAGAGGCCCTGTCCCCTTTTCATCAACCGGTGAGAGAATCCACAGGCAAGGAGAAAGAGAGACAGTGTGGACATGCCTCCAGGAGGGAGGAATTGTTTTCTTGTTTTAATGTTTATTTATTTTTGAGAGCAGGAGGGGGGGAGGGAGGGGCAGAGAGAGAGAGAGAGAGAGGAACCGAAACGGGCACTGCACTGTCAACACAGAGCCCGATGTGGGGCTCGAACTCACAAACCACGAGATCATGACCTGAGCCCAAGTTGGACGCTTAACCAACTGAGCCACCCAGGTGCCCCAGGCACTGGGTTTTAAAGAGCCTTGAAGTCGGATAAGGAAAACATCTGCTGGGTCTCTTTTTGTCTGGACACAAATACCTGAGTGCATAGTGATGTTACCAATTGCTTTCTCAGCCCCTCAGCCTGGAGTGATGGATGAATGTGTGTGTGTGTGTGTGTGTGTGTGTGTGTGTGTGTGTGTGTGTGTGTGTGTGCGTGCAATCCCTCCACCAGCAAATGCGCAAGTGAGCGCTGCTGGGGAGACAGAGGGAAGAAGGAATTTGCACGAGTCAGCCCTCCTGGCTTCTTGGGTTCTAACTTGAGGGACACTCTCCATTTATCTACCCATTGATCTATTTGCTCATTTACCTACTTCTTTTCTTAGCTCAGGTGCTATAGATAGTTCTGGAGACTGCACGGAATCTTTTTGGGCGGAGTAAAATCGAAAGAGCAACTTCGGCTTCTGTTGCGCTCTGTTTCTAGATCACACAGAAGCAGGCAGATCAAGTTTTGCTGATTTGGGGATGCTCTTCGATATTATAGGTATTATACAGCATGAACGAAATTCACTTTGGGCGTGGGGGGGGGGGGCTGGGGTGTCACCCTCAAAGAGATCAGTGGTTCTCCAAAGCCACTGAAACGGAAGTAAAAGGAGAGTGTGAGTGAAGCTGCACAGAAGAGGGGTGATTAGAGAGAACCGCAGGGTTTTTAAGTTTGCGAGCGTGTGGCTCAGGCTCCAAATGAAAAGTCACAGAGGGCAGACCTTCTGAATCATGGGTTGTTTATTTGGAATCAAGCTGTTTCTCCCGGTCAACTGGAGGCAGCTTGCCCTCGGGCGGGTGAGTGGCTCCTGAGAGTTAATTACTTAAGGATGGTTAATGATTCTCCCGGGTGACCCTGGGGGGAGGTATATGCAAATTAATCGTAATTACAACAGCTCAGCAGCAGCTACTCTGTAGTGTTTTCTGTGCTCCCGCAAGGTGCAGGACGCTTGATTGTGTTAGTTCATCCACACAAGAGTCCTATGAGGTAGGCATGATCAGACCCATCATTTTTCTTGCAGACAAGGAAACTCAAGTTCAGGGAACCGAAGTCACGATCAAGTGGGGCCACAGGTGGGTCTCACTCTAAATCCCTTAACTGACACTCATGTTGTCCTAACATGTAGGAATGCCCAAGAAAACGTGCAGCAAGGGCTCTTGGGTGAGGCCGCCTGCCAGGCGGGTCTTCCAGGCAAAGGGGGAGTCTCCCTTTTAAGCTCAAGGGCAAGGGCTTTCAGGGCTTGGGGGTGCTCCGTGCCCAGTAACCCACGTGCACTTAAAGGCACCGCTCGCAAGACAGGTCCCAAGGGAATCACAATGTGACCTGGCATTAGCAACAGCCTCGCCGCTCAGCCAAGCGACCTCAGGCCCAACACCCGGTCTAGGTCCCCTGAAGCCATTCGGGTGACTTCTCACTCCCCGACTGTCATCCGTCAAGGACCCCTCTGTGCCCTTCCACCGCCGCTCACCTGCCGGCCTGCAGCACCCCGGAAATGCTGAAGAGCCCGAAGTCTGTGATCACCACTTTCCCGTTGTCGTAGAAGACATTCTTTGACTTGAGGTCCTTGTGAAGGATCCCCTTTGCGTGCAGGTAGCCCATGCCCTGGAAGGAGCCAGGAAACGGGATGTCGTCAGGGAACATGGAGCGCTCGCTGCTACCCTGGCTCGGGTTCAAGAGCACCCTGAACAGCTGCACTGCTTGGGGCCCAAACGCACAGGCTTGCAGGTGGGGCTGTGCGGGACCGGGCAGGGTCCTCAAGGCACGCCTCTGCCACTGCCCTCAGACTACGGCCAAACTGTTCCCACCTGGCTCTGAAGCTTCCGGAAGAAGCCCCAGAGGAAGACATCCCTAGCGGGAGAAAAACTGAAGACGAACCAGAGAGGTGGTCCCCAGAGTAAGCTGAGGGATGCCATCAACCACCTCCCCGCACTTCCTCTTTGAAAAAAATAACCCCTCGGCAGGACATTTGTTTTATAGCTACTTAACCCATATCAGCGCTGAAGGCACCACATTCCTCAAGGGACAGATCATGATCCAGTGATCAAGACCACGGAGGAGAAGCTAGCTCAAGGGTAAGTGTCGAGATTCTTGTTTGAGTGTGTGTGTGTGTTGTTTTGTTTTGTTTTGTTTTGCCTTTATGAGCAGTCACATTTTATCTCTTCTAACAGCTCAGTTCTAACACTTCCAATGGGAAATGAAAGTCCCAGTCAACTGACTAACGAGGCACCTGCCAGAAAACACAGGATGTTCCAGTTTGTTTTAAGCCCAAACAACAGTCCCAACAATTGGATGTTTCCCCGGCAGCTGCAGAGAGAGAGAGAGTCAGAGAGAGACAGAGACAGAGGGCTTCCACTCATGGGAATTCAAGCATCCGAGGGGTAAGGGATTCTAACAACACAAGCTTCTTCTCCTGGTACCCTACGTGCCCAATTATCATGATGATGAGGCACCAGACAGAAGCCAGACATCGGGAGACCATCCCTAATGGTGGTATCTGGGCAAAACTCTTACTCACATACAGCGTGGTATTTTTCAGGGCAAGTCTAATTTTTTTTTTTTTTAAATCCAGACTGCTGGTCTGAAGCCAGACCCTGCATCTCTCGGGAGGGAGTCCCTCCCTGTGGTACCTTCACAATTTCTTGGGCAATCTGCCTCGTTTTGTTGACATCCAAGACGATTTTGGCGTCCCTCACCACAGAGTAGAGAGTCCGTCCCTTACACAGGCTGAAAAGCAAAAGGAGAGGACACATTATTGGCACTTGTTCAGATGAGAGTGACCCATGGCAGTTGTCCGATGTGACAAATAATAGTGGATGTGCCACTAGGACGCCTGTTGGAGAACAAGCCTGTGAATGGACCTCAGATCTGGCTCTGGGATGCAGATCTGGGAGCACGTTCTTTGGGGTTCTTCGGGGTCTTCACCGACACCCCCACCGCCAGCATCTCAGGACGCCCGCAGAACCTAACCCAGTCCAGAGGCAGGCTTGCCACGTTCCCTCTGTCCCAGGGTTGCATAGAAGGAAAGCTGTGCATGAACCAATAACTTCTGGGGTCCTGAGACGCCACTCAGACAGCACTCTGCCAGCCACCTGTCCCAGCTGCTCCCACTTGCAAGAAGCTGCTGAGGTGGGCGGTGGGGGCAGTGATGAAACACCAGCAAGATGGTGGCTCATATCCACCAAGGACCATCAGCCAACGATGCATTCAAGCCCTTAGATGATTGTGTGTAAACATGGATACCCTGTCCCCCAAACCAGACACCCATCTAGAGGGTTTTTTAAACTATGTTCAGACTCACTGAGTTCATATTGAGGACCAGTGGTTTAAGATAAATGACAAGACGGAAAAGGACGTTAATGCAGCGACAGTGACACATTCTCATTGAGTTGCCTGCTTGCTCATCCATCCGTCCCTTCTATGGTGAGCTCCGTTCCCGGCACACACACACAGGCACTCAATACGTGCTCACCGAATGAGGGAAAGAATGAATGAGTGAATGAATAAATGAATGAAGTCTATATTTACCACAGCATTCCCTGCCTCTAGCGCCAAATCTAGCTCAGAGGAGCAAGTGTCGGCTGGAAAAGGAAGGAATGGCATTAGGGAAGTTCATGTTCCATCTTCTGTCAAAACTGATGGCTTGCATTTTTCTTTTAATCTATGATTTCATTGCTGAAATACTCTCAGCCCTTCCTTCAGTATTTTTCGAGCCCTTGTTATGTGCTACACTTGGCTGAGATTGTGCAGTGGAAGCTAGATCCCAGCTCTGCTCCTTACTGTGTGTCTTTGGGTGGGTTACTTAACCCCTCTGGGCCTCGGATTCCTCAACTAGCAAAGAGAATGAGTGATACCTACCTTGTAGCGTCACTACGAGGACTGAGTGAGAGAAGGAACTGAGTGCCGTGCCTGGCACCTGGTGGGAAGTATAGCATCGTGGTGAGAATTTGTGGGTTAGAATCCTGGTGGCATCAGTGAGTAGCTGTGTGACCCTGGGCAGGTGAGTTAACCTCTCTGAGCCTCACTTTCACTATCTGTAAAATGGAGTCAATAGTTCTGGCCTTACGAGGTGGTTAGGAGAACCCCATGAAATCAGGTGTGTAAAGGTGTGGGCATCTCTCCATGCCCAGTGCACAGTAAGTACCCTACTCATGAAACGCTGGCTGTTAGGCGAGGTAGTAAGTGATCAATAAAATGCCAAATGTGTACGCACACTTGTGTAAATATGTGCTCTATATTCATACGCATACGACATCTGCTTGTCCATCCATTGTATTCCTACCTGTCTACCTGGCCACGTATCTACCCATCCACCCACATACCCGTCCAAAACGCTACCTGTGACCTTTCACTAAGACTCATTTCTTAGTGAGATTCTCAGCGTAGCTGACGCCCAGGGGGTCTGATTCATCCGTCCGAGGTCGCCCCGTAAGCTGGTGGGAGGCAGCCACGGTGACTCAAGTCTGTCCCCTGTTGTTGCTGTCCTGGGGGGGGGGTACGTTTGCTGTGGCTACTGCAGGAGAGGGGGAGAGAGGCGCGCTGTGCAGCCAATTAAGTCACACTGACATTTAAATATGGGGGATTGGCGGAGACCGTGGGTGGACCCCCTCCCCTGGATACTCGGTTCTTGAACAGCCACCCACACTCATTACAGGCCAGAGCCCAGAAAATACTGTTCCCGCTGCAGACGGCAGAGCAAATAATTGCAACAGGCTTCAAGACTCCCAGACTCTCCTTCCCGGGGTAACTGTGTGCAAGTCTCAGGCTTCAAACACCCATTCCATTTCCTTCCCTGCTCCCAACTTCCTTTCTGGGAGCAGCTGCGAAAATCTTTGCTTCTCTCACTACCCTGTGGTTTCTGGGGCTGCTGGAGTACATCCATCGACTGGTGGGATGTAAATTCGCACGACCACAGCCTGGCACGTCTACCAAAGTGAGATATACAAACACCCCACGATCAGCGGTTCCTTCCCTAAGTATATATATCCAACAGGCATGCGTACTCACATTCACCCACAGACATGCCAGAAGGTACGAGAACGTTAATAGCAGCCCATTCATAATAGCCCCGCACTGGAACCAATCCAAATGTTCATCAACAGAAAGATGGATTGATTGCGACAGAGCCAGATAACAGCATATATTCGTATCGTACTGGATAATAATCAGCGAATTACTGCTAACTGCAAAAAACGTGACGTTCATAAACACAGTGTTAAAGACGACTCAAGACTCGCACCGAATGACTCTATTTACAAAGTGCAAAACCAGACAAAACTGACCCATGTGCTAGAAGTCAGTGTAGTGGTGACCCTTGGGGGCCAGGGAGGCTGGAAAGGGCGTGAGGGGTCCAATGTGGCGGGGGGGGGGGGGGGGGGGGGGGGGGTGCAGGCAATGTTTTGATTTGGGTGCTGGCTGGCACATGAGTGTGAATTGAGTGGAAATTCATCAGGTTGTGCTCTCAGGATCTGGACACTTGGCCAGATGTTATACTCAAAAAAGTCTGCTGTAAACAAATTGTCATGGTGTTGAAATTTAAAAGAAAATCTAAACCAACACTGATACCCCAGGTATCCATTTCTAAGCGCTTCACGCAGTCCCAAGGGGCAGAGTCTACAGAGGAATTAGGTATTTATCCGGGGCTGAGCTGGAGAGCAGGTGCGGGGCAAAGGCTGAGCTCGAAGCAGGAGCAGGCATCGGGCAGGTATCCAGGGCGGAAGAGGCTCAGATACTCCAGACAAGTCAGTCCAAGTGTCTTTGGCAACTGTTCTGAGCTTGGGGCTTCTGTGGCTAACACTGGTGCCCAAAAGCCATTTGCAGCATGGGAGGTGGGAAAGGGAAAGGGGAGGATGAAGGGTTACAACCCTCACAGCAACTTGCAGGAGCCATATTGTGGCCCCATTTCTACAGACGAGGATATGGAGACCCAGAGCAGAGGACCTGCTCACGGACACACAGACATGGGATCAGCCCAGTCCTGATCTTTCTCTCATCTCCTCTTTGGTGTGGGTGCTGGACATGATTTGGGGGCCATTTAAGAGACACGCAGACAAGTGAATCCAAATCCGACTCTCCCATTTACTACTTAGGGGGTGACCTCGGGAAGGGACTCCAACCTCAGTTTCCTCATCGGTAAAATGGGAGTAATAGTAATAATTCCAGTTAATGTGTCTGAGCCCTTGTTATGTGCCAGGTACCGGGGTACTAAGCACAGGTACAGGTACTAAGCACGAGAGCCCCCCCCCCCACACGGTGGGTACCCTTGCTGTATTCCATGGATTCCAAGATGCATATTTCCTTGAAGTTTAACATCTCCGAAATCAGAATGTGTCTGATTGATGGACAGGTAACAGTTCTGTTGGCACTGTATTTCTTTCTTTGTAGTACATGAATACAACGTGCATACTGTAACTGACAGCATCTTGGATTTAATCAAGTCTTGGCCACATTTTACAGATAAGGAAACTGAGGCTCAGAGAGGTTAAGTAGGGCTGGGATTTGAACGCAGGCAGCCTGGCTTCAGAGCTGATGCTCCTGACCCCCATCTTTGGCTCCATAACTTTCAGACCCCAGCACGTCACATGCCCTCGGTAAATGGTAGCCATAATGTCATTGCTATGGCAACGAAGATTAATGAGACCCGCTGGCCTCTAGCTCCTGGGGCAGTACGCGCGCGCGCGCGCGCACACACACACACACACACACACACACACACACACCTCCATATCTCTCTCTGCTAAAAGATCACATTTCTCCAAGAAGAACAAGGCCCAGAAATGTCTCACTTTGTCTGCAGGCCGATACAGAGGTCTCTTCAGCCCTGACCCCAGACAGGTCATTCATACAGTTCTGACCTTTGACCCCATGTCCCGCGTGACACAGTGAGCCTTCTGGCCAGGATGACACTGTAAGTGGACGATCTTTGTTGTAAACTAGCCCCAAAGAGGATTGTCAGAAACAATGAGATAAAACCATCTAGAAGGCTCATCTCCAAGGGCCTCCGTCCAAACTGGCTAATTCTGCCAGAACAGTGACTAGGACAGAAATCTAGATGCCTGGGGTGGCCACTTCCCTTCCCTCCTCCAAACCCCTCAGCACCAAGCCCGGGGACCCAGGCCAGTGTGAATGAATGGTGGGGAGTGTGGGCTGGGGGCCCCCTCCTCCGAAGACTGTCAGACAGGCCCCCAGCCCAGTTCTGGCACCTCTCAGCCCACATGGCTTTGGAGACTCATCAGGGGCACAGGGTCCCCATCTGCTACTGTGGGCGTGGCCAGCTGAACAACGGTCCCCCAAAGCTGTCCACGTCCTCATCCTCAGAAACGGTGACTATTCCCCTTATACGGCACGTGGAACTTTGCAGAGGCAACTACGGTTTTTGACGTGGGGAGACTGTCCTGGCTTATCTCAGTGGGTCCGTTGTCATCACAAGGGTCCTTAAGGTGAAGGGAGAGACAGAAGAGAGAGGCAGAGGGAGATGTGAGTAAAAGACTCAACCAGCCCTTGCTGGCTTTGAAGATGAGGAGGGCGTCATGAGCCAAGGGGTGCAGGCAGCTTCTAGAAGCCAGAAAAGGCAAGAACAGATTTGTCCCCTACAGCAGCCAGGATGAACGCAGTGGACACCTTGATTTTAGCCCTGTGAGACCCATTTTAGACTTCCGACCTCTAGAATCGTAAGATACATTTGTGTTGTTTCGGGCCACGAAGTCTGCGGTCCTTTGTTTCGGCAG